GGTATAATTTGATCTAGTTATATAGGTTGGACAAAACTTATGGTATGGAGTTGTATCACTTGTATGGGTTGGACCAAAGTGATGGTGTGGGGCAATTATATATCCATTGTTCCATCGTTTTCAACCTAACACAGTATAACGCCATAGATTCTCAGGATCGGATATCATTTGCGTGGTAATTGTCTTATGCGGTTAACATGTGCGTCTAACGGCTGTGTCAGGGTAGTCGCTAATTGTCGACTACCTTGTAATTTTTATTATTATTCTTTTCTTTTATTGATTTGACTCACTTGATAAAAATAGTTGTTCTTAAGATCAGGGACGGAGTCAGAAATTCGATTGAGGGGATGAAAAAATACGACGGATTCAGAAATTTTTTTCCAGTAAAAGCAAAACATTAAAACAAACGAGATAATTAAAAAAAAAATTACCTAAGATTTTTTTTTTTTTTTTATATAACCATTACCTAAGAAATATAGTTGTAAATGTTGTTGAATATGTGCGAAAAATAAAACACATCGAAACTTTATAAAAATATGGGAAAATGGCACTTTTACCCTTGAGTTATATACTTATAGCACTTTTTCCCCCTCAATTATTTAGGTAAGCACATTAGTCCCCTCAATTATTCTAAAAGTGGTGCTTTTTTTCCCCCTGATATATTAAATTGACACTTATACCCTTAAAGTAAACATTTTATTTATTTTACTTCTCCAACAAATTATTGCGTATATGTAGGGATGACCACGGTTCGGTTTGAATTGAACCGGATACTAAAGCAATCGAATTAATAGTTTCCGATTATGATTCAGATCTAGAATCCAATATTTAAATGTCAATTTATTAAAATTATGTATCAAAAAAATTGAATCTTGAACCGTGAACCCGCGGTTCCGGATCCGATTCGCAATTTTGAACCGTCTTTATTTTAAAATTTTATTTTTTATTTTAAAATAGTCTAAATTCAACAATAAATGTATTTTATTTTTTCAGTTCAGAATATAAACCGTCCGTTCCGGTTCATGATTTTAATAAACTCTAAATATCAGATTTCGATTCTAAATTGTAATTGGAATATTTCGGTTTGGTTGCTATAGTGTTTGTTTGGTTTGAACCAAATTATTGTCATAATTTGTTGAAAAAAATAAATGAAATATTTATTTTAAGGGTAAATATGTCCATTTAACATTTCAGGAGAGAAAACAGCCACTTCAATAATTCAGGGGGGAAAAATGCTATAAGTATATAACTCAGGGGGAAAAAGTGATATTTTCCCTAAAAATATTCATAACAAAATATGAAACACAATTAATTTGATAAAATAATTTGAATAGAAAACACATTATAAATTACACATCTCACTATTAATATAAAAGAATGTTATATATATGTGTATGTGTATTAAATATTAAAAAATATTCATTACAAAATATGAAACATAATTAATTTGATAAAATAATTTGAATAGAAAACACATTATAAATTACACATCTCACTATTAATATAAAAGAATGTTATATATATATATATATATATATATATATATATATATATATATATATATATATGTGTGTGTGTGTGTGTGTGTGTGTGTGTGTGTGTGTGTGTGTGTGTGTGTGTGTGTGTGTGTGTGTGTGTGTGTGTAACATATATATATGAGGGTATTTTGATCATTTCACGTATCTTTTCTTCTTTCCAGGCGAGTCCATCCCTTCCTTTTCCGTTTCCGGCGAATGCAATGAACTAAGATGATTGGGAAAGGAGGTTTGATGATATTAAAGATAGGGTTTACAGGGAGAAAGAACGCCGGAAACAGGAGAGATAGGGATGGACTCACCGGAGAAAAAGAAAAGAGGCGTGAAACGACCAAAATATTCTCATTATTTTAATTATTAAAGTTTTTCGGTGAAATTTGGCCGATAATTTGACCGGAGTGACCAAAATTGACAAAAATTGCATAGTTAAGGTACTAAATTGACACTTTTAAAAGTCAGGGACTAAAATTAACAAGACCCCTATATTCATATGACCAAAATTGAAATTTCCTCTATTAAAAAAGTGATTGTGTTGAAGCCATAGGAGAAGGACTCAAAAATATGTAATATTATGCTAATACAAAGATTTGAACCCAAGATCTTTCCTATTATCAAACATATACTCTACCAACTAATCTAACTCCTTACTTATTGATAATTACTAGTTTTTTTTAATACTAATACAAAAACCTATACTATATATACATATATACATACACAGATTATATATGGGGTGAGGAGGGCAGCTGCCCCCTTTGATTAATTAGATTTCACTTAAATTAATTATAATTCATTTTTTAATATTTAACTTTGTGTTGGTGCATAAAATTTATATATTTAAAAATTAAAATCAAAAGTACTGTTAAATTTAAAAAATTAAACAAATTGTTAGTGTTTATGATTGTAAACCTCATTTATATAATTCTTCCAAAAAGGCTGAACCCCAACCCTGAGGGCCCCCCACACCCCGGCCCGACAGAGTATTTGGGAGGATGTAAATCATGGTGACTCAACTGAACATGAACCACAAAGGCTAGACCGGTGCTCACTGCGCACAAGGAGCCCTCCTAACTTTGAGAGGTTGCTCCCACACTGCCGCTGGTGAGACTCGATCCCTGGTCATTCTTCCAAAGTTTCACCTCATTTATATAATTGTCTATATATCATGACAAATTAGATAGGTGTAGGATATTATTACAGATAAAGTATCTAGCGAACTAGTTCCTACACCACTTGAGATTTGAAACCCTATTGAATATCTTCATCGACGGACCTTCAGAACCGACGGAGCAGATTTTCATATTCATGCTTTTGGAAACTAGTGCTTAAGAATTCAGATTTTCCTAATAAAGAATTATGGCAAGTGATCTTCGTCTACATGGTAACCCTAAAGGATTACTTGTCATCCAAGATTCGAAGACCTCATATATATTTGAAGAAGCTTGCTGCCTCGGGTTTCTTAACACACGAGAGAATAATATACACATGAGAGGCTTCTTCCTCCTATGCGTTTTGACAGTTCATTCTTCGAATCAACCTCTTCTCAATATCTTCATGGTTAGAGCTATTTCGATCTCTTGAGAAGAGAATCTTCATTGTGTTGATTTGTGGACCGTACTCCATACAACTATGGTGCAGTAGTGAGTGAGTCATTGGGTCGGACGGTGATAACGTTGATTTCCAAACGAGGGACTCTTTGGACAACTGCCTACTTGGATCTCAGCCTCAACAATCCTCTATTAGCTTATTCAGATTGGGTTGCTACCTTGTGAGGTATAACACACATTGGGTTGAGATTGTGATCTCTTTACCATCTGTATGATTGACTTGTTGAGATAGTGGATTGGACTCACTGATACTGTTCTATCAGTCATACTATTTCAGTGATAAGTCTGTCTCTCAAACAGAATAATTTGAATCTATAACCTAAAACACGAATGCAGAAATTTCACAAATTATAAGAAAATGTTAAAGAAAATAACCAATTAAACAAATTAGAACTAAATTTATCAATAAATAATAAATATAATTGTTAAAATGATTCATGAAAAATATTTTTTTTCTTATAAGAAATTAAAATCATTATGTTTGTAGCAGCTACGGCTATGTTGTTTCTGTCGAAGGAAAAAATCATTACATTTTTTTAAAAAAATTAAATTATTTGTACCTTTCAATAGAAATAACATTTTAATTTGTTGCATTCAAAAAAAACATTTTAATTTGTTTCTATCGATCGAAAGAGCAGAAACCATAAAAGCTTTTAAAAAATAAAGCTCTTTTGTTTGATTTTGTTTTGTATTTACCTTTTGAAAACAAAATTGTTGGGTAACATCAAGTAAATACTCCGTATTATGCAAAGATTCTTGAACCATATTTTGGAGTCATAAACTATTTGTCGGGGTATAATTTCAAGCAAGTTGTGTAAAAGCTGTTGACACTTTAAGCTCCCAATTGATTCCAGATTTCCTTGCCACTTTGTACATTTCTCCGCACAAAAAGTTATTAATTACTACCATAGTGAAATGGTTTTTAACTGTTAGCTGATTTGGTTAATTAGAGAGTATAACTAGTTGATAATATTAATTGATTGTAAAAAAATGTTTGGTAAATTAGTTATTAGCTGATAGTTGTTTGGTATAATTTCTTTATTCAAAAAACTAATTGAAAAAGTTGCTTTGAGCAGCTTTTTGAATTTTAATATTTTAAAGTTACAAAAAGATAATTAACCAAACACTTATATTAATTTTTTAACCAATTCTAACAATTAATAGTGATCAAATAAGCTAAAATTAACCTATAAACTAACTATTTTATCAAACGGAGCCTAAATATTGATCCGCTAACCACTTAAACTATCCGATGGGGATTGATCCGCTAACCACTTAAGCTATCCGATGGGGCGGTGATATGCATCATTAGCAATCATTATTTTGTGGACCATGGTACATACAAGTTGTGTGGACCAAATTTTGTCTACTGTAAAATAATGTACATTCAGTACAAAAATAATGTACATTCAGTAGAAAAATAATGTACATTGTATTCAGGGGATGTATATCATTTTTGTTCTAAATGTACATTATATTATACAATGTATATTCAGTACAAAAATAATGTACATTTAGTATATTAAAAATGTACTTATTGTTATGGTCCACATAACATTGTGTGGTCCATGGTCCACATAATAATTTGCCCATCATTAGGGCAAATTATGCTGTGCATCGGTATTGCACCATGCATGGTGCATACCGATGCACACGACGTCGTTTTTGAGTAAGGACGCGGTGTTTTATAAAAAAAAAAAAAAATCCGTTAACGGCGTTTATTTCCTTTTGAGTTTGTTTCCAAGTTTTCAACTCGATCGTTGGCAGTTGTTCGCTGTGGAATTGGCATTCGATATCACCGGAATCGCAATCGCAATCACAATCGCAAATCGCGATCGGAATACAAAGTGATTGTTAGATGGAGGATGGAACAGAGCAGACGAATTCCGCAGTTGGTGATTGGCATTCGATTCAAGGTGATCTTGCTATTGTTTTTGCATTTGTTCCTTTTGCTTTTTTGTATGATTTTGTGATTCATTATGATACAATTGTTGTTAGCAGTGATGTTTGTGTCTAGAATCTGCCATTTAGTTGTGCAAATATGTATACAAAATCACATAAGTATATATCCATAATTGTATAACAACAATTCCAGAATTTCAAAACAATAATTCCATAATTGCATAACTATATTTCCAGAATTGCATATCTATATATTCAGAATTAGCGGGGTACTCTGTTTTGGCAGTTTGTTGCGTATGTGTATCCAGAATTGTATAAGTATATTTCCATAATCACATAGCTATATATCCAGAATCTGTAGGTACTCTGTTTTTGCTGTTTGATGAACTGTTTGAAATAATGTTCACCATGTCTATATAATGTAGTTAGTAAGGCATTGTGGATGGTTCAGTGAGTTCAGATCAAGCAGATGTAGACGTTGATGGATCTTCATCAATTCCAGGTTTATTCATAGTGGTTTACCTTTTAATTAGAAAATTCTGGTTAGGAACTATAGTTTAATGGAAATGGTTATTATTGTGTTATATTTGCAGTTGATCAAGATTTGGTTGGGTTGGTAGTAAGTAATGCTGATGAGGCTTTTGAGTTGTATAACAATTATGCATATAGACTTGGTTTTAGTGTGAGGAAAGGTCATCAACGGTACAAAGGATCTACTAACACAATTCAAATGAAGAACTTTTGTTGTTCTAAGGCTGGTTATAAGGCAAACAGTGGGGTTAAGGCTTATTCCAAAATTGACACAAGGACAGGGTGTGGAGCGTTTGTTCAGTTTGGCGTGGGTGATGATGGGTTGTGGACAGTTACAAAACACGAGAAAGTGCACAATCACGAGTTATGTGTGTTCAACAAGAGTCATCTACTTCGTTCACATAGGAGTGTCGGAGATAATCAGCTCTTATATTTACATGGTTTGAAGGACAGTGGAGTTGCACTGGCAGATGGTATTAGGTTCCTAAAACACCAATCAGGGGGGTCCCCATTAGTTGGTTTCACCAATAGAGATGCTTATAATTCAATGGCGGCGGATACAGTCAAGCGATTGGATGGAACGGATTCTAACTCTTTAATTGAAATTTTTAGGAGGAGGCAATCTACCGAGACTGATTTTTTCTTTGATTTTGAACTTGATTTGGATGCAAGATTGTGCAGTATTTTTTGGAGGGATGGTCAAATGAGACGAGATTATGAGGTGTTTGGGGATTTGTTAGTGCACGATACGACATATCGCACAAACAAATATGATATGATTTGTGGCCCTTTCGTAGGGATGAATCACCATTGCATGAATGTAATGTTTGGATGCGGGATTTTTATGAACGGGAGGATAGAATCGTTTGTGTGGTTGTTTAAAGCGTTTTTAAGATCTATGGGTGGCAAGTGTCCACAGACTATTATGACAGATCAATGTGCAGCTATGGCTGCTGCTATATCTAAAGTGTTTCCAAAATCACGTCACCGTCTTTGCATATGGCATATTGGTGAGAATTCAAAGAAGCATATCAAGACGTTAAGGAACAATAAGGATTTCTTGGATATGTTTAACTACGTGTTGAAATACACAGAGACCGAAGCTGAATTTCAATTCTATTGGACAAGGTATGTTAGTAATTAATCGTTTTTATTGGATTATATTTCATATGTATGTAGTATTAGCCGTTCTGATCATTTAGTATATTTATTACAGATGTATATGAATTATGGATGTATAGTTTAACAATTATGGATGTATAGTATAGTAATTATGGATGTATAGCAGGTGAACTGACTGGTGGTCACTGGAAATGTAGTTTATGGATTATGGATGTATAGTGTATCAATTATGGATATATAGTATTTCAATTATGGATATATAGCAGTTGAATTGACTGGTTGTGCCTGGAAATGTAGTATATGGATTATGGATATATAGTCTATCAATTATGGACATATAGTATTCCAATTATGTATATATAGCAGTAGAAATTTTGAGCATGTGTTAGATGTGGTGATGTTGTTTGTTAATATTCTGCTTCATAAACATTTGGGATTTTGTCTTACCATTTTCAGGTTGGTGACTGACTATAAATGCCACAAGAATACTTGGTTAGAAAAGCTATATGACTGTAGGGAGAAGTGGTGTCCAGCATTTAATAAGGACTATTTTTCTGGGGGCATTTTGTCGTCACAAAGGAGTGAAACTACAAATCACTCGATTTCTAGAAGGTTGTCCAAGACAGCAAATCTTTGTGATTTCTATTCATCGTTTGTAAGCGTAATTTCTGAATGGAGAAGTAAAGGAGAATGGTGAAGACTTTCGGTGTGCTCAAGGGGTACCCGCTATGATGATGGAGCATGTGAAACTTCTTTCACATGCTAGAGAGGTATACACGAGTGAGATATATTTTCTTTTTGAGGAACAATTCATGAAAGGCAGTGCCTGTCATCAAGAAATGGTGTTGAATGATGGCTGTCAACAAAAGTATCACGTGTGGCGGCCAGATATAGATATTATAAGGCATGAGGTTAGTTTTAACCCAACCAACTTGGACATTTCTTGTAGTTGCAAGTTGATTTCTGAGTTGGGAATTCTATGTTGTCATTGTCTACGCATTCTTCATGTACATTGTGTTTCTAGTATCCCTGACAAATATATCCTTAAAAGATGGACTAAAACGGTTATTGATGGTAGGAATGTCAACATTGATTCTATGGTTTATAATGTTGGTGTCCCTCCATCAATTTGGGTGTTCGATATTAGTAGGAAATTTCAAAGATTAGTTGTTTCTAGTCAAGATAGTAGTGTAGCTAGGAAACTGTGTGACGAAGCTGTTGATGATGTTAAGAAAAAAGTTGAAGCCGAGATTGGGCATGTGCATATTGAAGTGTGTGGTGTTTCATCTTCAAGTGGTGGTGTACAAAATCCTTCAAGCCAGAGATTGAAAGTGAGCGTAATAAAAGGAGGAGTGATGTTATTGAAAAGAAGTACAGTCTTGCAAGGGGGAGAAGGAGTGCTACAAATAAAGCTGCATTGAGTACAAAGGGTGCTGTTCAGTCTTTGGTGTTGGACAACATATCCAAGCTTGCTGGGGATGGGTACCTCGTACATCCAAGTTCTTCGAGTTCAGATTTTGTTCAGTTTAGTAAGGGTTTAGATGACAACGTAGGTGTAGATTGAGAAATACAACTTGTTATCATTGATTTTATGCAATTCTGGACTTATAGTTTTGTAATTCTGGATATGTAGTTTTGCAATTATGGTTTTACAGTTATGCAGTTATGGAACTATAGTTATGCAATTTCGGAACTATAGTTATGAAATTATGGAATTATAGTTATGCAATTGTGGAATTATAGTCATGCAATTATGAAAGGTATGCAATTATGAAATTATAGTCATGCATTTATGCATGTGTAGTTTCCATAGTGATGGAATTTGTAGTTACCAAATTGTGGTGTATAGTTATACAATTATGGATGTATAGTTGTGCAATTATGGTATTATAGTTATGCAATTATGCAACTATAGTTATGCAATTATTGAATTATAGATATGCAATTATGGAATTATAGTTTTGAAAATATGAAATTATAGTTATGCAATTATGGAATTATAGTTATGCAATTATGGAATTATAGTAGTCATGCAATTATAGATTTCATACGTGAAAAAAAAAAAAAAAAAAAAAAAAAAAAAAAAAAAAAAGCTGCATAGATCAGAAGTAAATTGGTATTTAGTTATTAACATCATGCATTCACAGAGCCAAGTCACATTGTTAGTGTAGATCACAAAAACTTTCACATTGTTAGAATTCAGTCAACATGTTGAAGAATATTCATTCACTTCTTCTTGGAGACACCTTTGGCCGCTTGTAGAACCTTCCCCCTGACTGCGTTCATCCTCCACTTTATGATATTGGCAGCATATTTCGCTCGCAGTTCGTACATGAAGTTTGCCTATAAACAAAGAACATTAAGTAATTAGTCATTTGCAGTTTTTTTAATGTATTTTGAAAGTATAATATGTATTGTAGTCTTACATTCAAGCGCATATTTTTCTTGAATCCTGGCTGCCAGTCTTGTAGGGTCCCTCGGTATGTCTCCATATGCCGGAGTATATAGATTCCGCAATCAGTGACATTTCAGTGTTTGCCCAGTCCAACTTAAAGTACTCTATTGCAACTTTTTGCAATTTCACATACAAGGAGTGGCACTCGGCCTTAAGGTAACCACTGAATGCTTCAATCTGGTCAAAAAAGTTAGTTTAGTGTTGATAATGCTTTTAAGTCAATAGATAGGTAATGGTAAGAATGTCAAGGTTTTTTTTTTTTTTTATCAATTTTACCAATAAGTGTGGGCTGTTGCCATATTTGTCCTTCTCTGAAACATCAGCTGGTAACTCCTTGTTGTCCATGACCTGTACTTTATGTTCTTTCACGTTGAAGCAGACCAAGAAGTAGTGACCATGGCGATGAACTGGGAAAAATATCTAATTTCAATTCACAGTTAAAGCAATGTTAGTATTTTTTGGACATGATAAAGTCAAATTGGACATGGGCAATAGAACTTACTAAATCTGCATCACTAATGTCTAGGTTCCCGAAGCTGGTTATTTCATAGCTTAATCTCTCATTGAAATTCCTCCTTTTTATGTCAGCTGGGAGATCCTTCATCCACTGGTCATTGGGATCAATCTGAAGCTGTACACACAAATGCAAGAATGAGTAGTCATAATTCATATAATATTTGTTGAAAATGTTAAAGCTATACATACAGAATTATATAACTACACTTCCAAAATTGCATTACTATAGTTCCATAATTGCATAACTATAATTCCAGAATTACAAAACTATAAAACCAGGGCTTCACAGGTACACATCCAGAACTGAATAACTACATATCCATAATCTGAAAACTATATATTCATAATTTGTGAACACTTACATATACTAGGGTGGAAGAGTAGACCCGCTTTGTCTCCCCAACCGCACGGGACGTGTTTAGCAATGTAAAACGTAGGGACCAGACATCTAGGAAGATGCTCAGTATCTCACCATTGCACAGAGTTGCAAAACCATCCCTTGACAAGTAGTAATAACCATATCTGAACAATATCTCTCTACAATACAATAAATAAATAAATATAAGAACATAAATTAATGAATAAAATTCTTGTAAAATAGGTGGATGGAAACATACCCTCCCGGGTGCTCATTTGAGGCTTCCAAAAATGCGTAGTTTGAAACAACCTTTTCTTTGGGAGTTGCATTATGGATGGAGCCTTTGTTCTTAGTCCAGTATGGTGACCTTAAATAAAGTGGGATGTTTCTGAATTTGCGCACAGGTCTCTTTCTCACAGTAACATCCTCAACATCAGATTCACTTTCTTCCATAGCTCTGTTGTTCAGAAAAAACAGAGGCAGTTCATAACCTCACAAGTATAATTCCAGAATTGTATAACTACACTTCCATAATCTATAAACTATATGTCCATAATTTGAAAACTACATATCCATAATTGTAACAATCAATGTCAATAGTTGAATAAGAATATATTCATAATAATCAAACTTAATATTCATAATTTTTGACCAATTGAAAACCATATTCATAGTCTAAATCTGCATAAGAAAGCAGTAACCTACTTATCAAATTCATCAATCTCAGCAGCAGCTTGGGCAGCAGGGGTAGTAGGAGTGGTGGATTTTTCGAATGGCACTCTGATTAGTAATGGAGTTGCTTCCTTCTTCGTTGAGGTTGATACTCCTGCACTCCTCAGTCACCTCTTCTGATTATCTCATCAGGCATCTTGGTTGTTATGGGTGACCCTGACATGACATTCCACCTCTTCCTCCAGTCAGTTAGGAGCTTATTATATGCAAATGTAGAATTTTCCTCAGATTTTGTACCCTCCTCAACATCTCTCTTTCCCCGGGGGATCCCCAAGGTGTATTCAACATCCTCTTCACTGACATGCAGAATATCACCATCCAATATAAAGTCTGACTTGAAAACATCAAACCTTTTCAGAAGATACTCAACAAGTTGTGAATAATTGCTCGAGAATTGCAGATGTAGCAGCCCTACAAATCCCATATCAACAACATCATGTTTTTGATCTTGTGATAGACGTTGGACAAGCTCAGACATTTGTTTGGGACCCATCCGCGTACTGAAGTAATCCACGTCAGGGTCCCGTACTTGCTCTCGTTTTGGTGGTGGTGCCCTCTTTCTTTTGGGAGCTGCTGGTTGTTGCCTTGTGGAAGGCTCTGCAGGATCTTCTTGTGCAGGGGTGAGCTGAGCAGCCGGTGAGCTCCATATTACTCTGGTTTTGCTACTCTTTACCGACTTGATGAATTGCCCAAGCGTAGTGTCATCTCTCACATTTGAGTCTTCCATTTCTGCAAATAAAAAACATCAAGTAAGGTTCACAGAGTACTACATCCAAAACTGTATAACTACAATTCCATAAACGCACAACTATACTTCCAGAATTGTACAACTACAATTCCATAAACTCATAAATATACCCACAAGGCAAGTTATGCTAAAAAGGATTTGAATGCAGTTTGGTGCACAGAGTAAGGTTCACAGAGTACTACATCCAAAACTGTATAACTACAATTCCATAAACGCACAACTATACTTCCAAAATTGTACAACTACAATTCCATAAACTCATAAATATACCCACAAGGCAAGTTATGCTAAAAAGGATTTGAATGCAATCTGGTGCACAGAGTAAGGTTCACAGAGTACTACATCCAAAACTGTATAACTACAATTCCATAAACGCACAACTATACTTCCAAAATTGTACAACTACAATTCCATAAACTCATAAATATACCCACAAGGCAAATTATGCTAAAAAGGCATGAATGCAGTTTGGTGCGCAGAGTAAGGTTAACAGAGTACTACATCCAAAACTGTATAACTACAATTCCATAAACGCACAACTATACTTCCAAAATTGTACAACAACAATTCCATAAACTCATAAATATACTCATAAACCCATAATCATAATCATACACGTTCATAATCAAATAATTATACATTCATACAAGATTAAACAGTCTAAAACCCTAGTTTAAAATTACATAAACATATACTCAAAATCAATGCTTGTTTTGTGTAAATGCCTCATGTATCAACGTAAAATGCATTATACCTATTATAGGAAGAAGATGAGCTCTGCTGTACAGAGGAAGCGCTGTTGAATGTGTGATGATCGGAGGCCGGCGACAACAGTGATGATGAATGTGTGCGAAACCTAGAAAATGCTGAAGAAAAGCTAAGGAAATGGAGATGATCGAAGCGTTTGGGGAGGGTATCGTGTTGGAGAAGAAAGCAAGTGCGGAAGTGAAATGGAATGGGAGAGGAAACGAACGAATAAGGTTTTATATTTTTTTAAAAAAAAATCTGATTGGTGAAGTGAAACGGTGCCACTAACAGCACCGTTACTCCTAAACGACGTCATGTGCATCTGGATGCACCAAGAATGGTTCATATTAATGCAAAGCATAACGATTGCATCATTAGAACTACATTAGTTTGGTCCTATCTAGGGAGTAAGGTAGGTTTTTGGTGAAATTAGGCCACTGTGCGTCTGTGCATGTATCCACATAAATACATAATGGGCTTGTCTAGTAAAATATTAATTTCCAAGGGAAGTGGTGGGCTTGCATTTATTTTTTTCAAAAAAATAAAAATAAAATCCAAATCTAGTACATGATTCAGAGGGCCTACTCTATCAACATTGGCAAATTATACTATGGATTATGTTCTACATTGCAATATGGATCATGAATAAATATTCATTTTTAATATAGTAAAAGTATATTATTTATATACTGAAGGTTCATTATTTGGTGATATACCAAATAATGAACATTCAGTACACAAATAATGTATATTTAAAAAAATGAACGTTAGTGTATTAAAAAAATATATTATGTCAACGGTCCACCTTATAAGAGGAATCATGATCAATGATATAATGATGAGTTAATTCAAGCAAAGGTCTTCCGAGAATAGCGATTTTTCACAATTGATCCCCATCTTTTAATTTGGACAAATTTGATACTTGACTATCAAAATCTTTCTAATGTTGGTCCTTCTGTCAAATGACTGTTATTTGGACGTCAAAATAAGGGGTAAAACCGTCATTCC